TACACTCCCTCTAAGAGGGAGGGAGAGGCTCCTGAGAAGTAGAAAGTCACTTGCCTGGGAAAGCATAAACTCAGAAGATGGCTCAGTGGTTAAGAGCACTGGCTGCTTTTGAAGACCTGGATTCAGCTCCCTATACCTATATGGCGGCTAATATGTTAAAATTCCACTGGGTGGTAAGTACTGGTGGTAAGAATAAGAAACAGTGCTTGAATTGAGAAAACTGAATGAAAGATAGTAAAAGAAAGTTTTAAGCTGTAACTAGCAAAATTTTTCTAGATAAAACAGCATTATCATCTACATACGTACGTGGTTAGATATAACATCCACTAAGAAAATATTTCATGAACTCTAAAAATGAAAACCAGGAACTGGCAAGATGGCTCAGTGGGTAAAACATCTGTCACTCCAGCCTGGAGATTTAAGGAATCCATGGTGGAAGGAGAGAACAGACTCCCCAATGCTGTCCTCTGTTCGCCCCCATAAATAATAAATTTTTAAAAATATTTTAAAAAGAAAGGAAATACAAGAATTTTGCACATATTTTGATAACTTTTAAATTAAAAGAAAATGTTATGGGATTCAAAGCAAAATATCTGAAGAATGATTTCATATGCTGCTGTGGACTTTCCCCCAGTAGTAGGGATTGAATCTAGGGCCTCACACATGCTAGGCAGGAACTTTATTACTAAGCTGTATACCTCTAACTCTCTTCTTACTTCTCATTTTGAAACAGGGTCTCATTAAATTGCCCAGGATGGCCTTGAACTCACTCTGTAGGCCAGGTTAAATTTGAACTCATGATCCTCCTGCTTTAGTTCTTCTCCCCAACCCTACTACATGGATTATAGGCCTATGTCACCAGGTCCAGCTGGACTTTTTTTGCCCTCTAATAAAAGGGAAATTACACATTTTTACTTTCAACTATGACAAGGTTTTATTATTTATATTAGAAATTTGATAGTGTATGGCTACACAATTATTCTACACTATTACTTACTGGAAAAAACAAAGGACAAATAGAAAAGCTGATGCCTTGGAAGAATGTTCCTGAAGTACCTTCAGAAGAGGACACCAGGAATTAAGGAACACCCTGTATGTACCGCTTTTACAAAAAAAAAAAAAAAAAAAAAAAAAAAAAAAAAAAAAAACTATGCACATACACAGCACATAATAGCCAGCATACACACACACACACACACACACACACACGCTCATCCAGATGTGAACAAATCATCTAACTATTCATATCTACTTCAGGTAAATAATGACGAAGCAAATATAGTCATTCAATTTATCAGTTACTAAAGTGAAGCACAGTTAGTGAAGAAATGGTTTAATTCTTAAAGAACTTCATTAATATTTAAATGCACATACAATCGATCTGTTTTACACATTTAGAAGTTAAGGCTAGACTTGAAACTGGAACCTTGTTTTAGGAATTTGTACATAAATACTCTAAATTATGCTTATAATGTAACTAAATGCTCTAGTTTTCTTTGAATAATTGTTATAAACTTGTTTCTATCTTAAATAGCATCGAACAGAATGGATGCTTTAGACAAATAAAGGCTCAATGAATAACCATGTTTTAAGTATAAATAGTCACTTTCTGAAATATATTGCTACGCTTGTCATCTTTGACTCACATTATGAACTAGTTTATCTTTCTACACAAAAAGAAATACACAAATATCAAATATATCAAATGAAAAAACACATAAAATAACAAAACTGTTAACAAAAAATCCTGTCTACTAACGACATTACTTATTGAAACAACTTTTCCATGTATTTAATTAAATACAAAATAATTAAAAACAGAATAAAAATTAACCATCCCATGTTAACTACAGTGACAAAAGGCAGTTGAACACAAGCAGAGCATTCAGCACCAAACACAACGAAATTAATCCACAACGATCAAGCTAACGAGATATTAGCTAAAAAGAAAGCTTTAAAATTTCAATTCTACTAAACTTCAAAATGCACACACTATTACACATACACACAAATTCATCCAGTTCCCCGAAAAAACAATTCCAGCTGCTAATATTCAGTTTTTCTACTAGTGCTGTAGCCAATGAAATCAGTACACACAATTTTAGGACTAGGCAAATTATCTGTTTATCAATCAAGTTTAAACTACTTTTATGAAAATCATTATTTATAAGTTCCTTTAAAACCATTACAAAATCATCACATGTGTACAAAGAATAGTAAAAAGGTCTTTATTATGCAAATTCAATTTAGCAAAGCTTCTATTAAAGGCAAAAATGTTCTACATAAGACGTATTTATCCACAGATAAACAAATATTTTCATTTATATTAATATATTACGCTAAGAGATTTACAAGTAGATTTTAATCAAGAAAGCTTGTGTAAAATATGAATTTAAAACATCTTTAAAAAACTAAAATTATATTCTATTTAAACTGTAATGTATTAAAAGCGAATTAATCTAATTTCACTAAAAGTAAATTCTGGCCGGGCATGGTGGCATATGCCTTTAATCCCAGCACTTGGGAGACAGAGACAAGTGGATCTCTGTGAGTTCAAGGCCAGCCTGATCTACATAGCGAGTTTTAGATGAGCTGGGGCTACAGGGAGACCCTGTCTCAAAAAGATCGAAAAAAAAAAGTAAATTCTGACTCAATCAAATTCTGCTGTCTTAATATATAATTGGACTGTGTGAGGCACTGGGCTCTTTGGGAGCTGTTCTTCCCCTAGACTCAGTCTCCTTACATGTGTGCACTGATCTGAATAGACATATTAAAAAAGACCTATTATTAAACATGTAAGTGCTTTAATTTTTAAATTTAATTTACTTTTTATTTTATAGTATGAGTGTTTTGCCTTGCATGTATGTAAATGCTCCTGACATGTCATCCAGTGCCTGCAGAGGCCAAAGAGGGTGTCAGATTCCCTGACTAGAGTTAAGAAGAGTTGTTAGCCACCATGTGGAGGCTGGGAACCAAACCCAGGTCCTCTGGAAGAGCAGCTAGTGCTCTTAAGCACCGAGTCATCTCTCCAGTCCCAAGTAAGTACTTTAATTTTAAAGCTAACATTTTACTAATCTTAAAAGTAACAACCAAAAAAGATCTTGCCCATCTCTGACTAGTAAGATTACCACCAAAACAGAGAACCTGACCAAATATATGGTTCTATTTCAGTGTTTTATACTAAATTGGAAAAGCGGTCTTTTAGTACTACGGGAAAATCTCTAAGTTCTCCGTTTACCTTCTGTAATTGCTGCTGTAACCTTTCCCACGAGGTGAGGGGCCATGGATGAATCGGCATGTGTTTCCATAGAGGCAGTTACCAGTCTTCAGCCAGTTACGGCACTGTGTCTAAGAGACAGAAATTTCTATGAAAGTCTTGTTTATTCCCAAGGAAAACACTCTATGGGAACAAAAATCAAATCAAAGCTACCCAAATTCCAGCTAAACTATATTTACTTCCTCACTCCCCACCATAATAAAACACCAGAAGGAGAAGCCACATGAAGATGGGCAGGGAATGGGGGAGCGGGAGTGGGGTGGGGGACAGACAGGATCAAAATACACTGTACACATGGATGAAATTCTCAAAGAATAAAAAAAATAAAAACAGGGAACTCACAAACCTTAAACCCCTTTCATTCCTTTTTATAAAACACGTTAAACATTTTCAAAACCAACATACCTCCAACAAATGTATTTAGCTTTATAACAGCAATCAGTATTTCAAATATAACATGTAAAAATTTTTCTCCCAGTGCACAGGACTGAATCCAGGGTCATACATGGTAGGTAAGGGCTCTAGCACTGAGCCATGCTCCTAGTCCCCTCAAAATGGGATTCTGATGGCCCCTGTGACCATTTTGGTGACAACTCACCTCTGCTGCACTGCCAGTGCTGGGCCCAAGCCTCTCAAACACACTAGGTCTTCTGGATGTGCTGTCAGATATGGTCTTGGTATTTTCCACTGTGACCTTCCTCCTAATTTTTGACATTTTGAACTACTTTAACCAAAAAAGAAAGAGTCAAAACTGTAAAAATTTTCAGTTTTAAATAACTGAGCCTATAACCTACAAACAGATAAAGCTATAGGCAACACTCTAAAATTACAAGTTTTTCCTTGGGTTGAGGTGGGGACAGAAAAGGACACAGCAGAGGACACCAGTAGACAAACTATCTACTGAAAAGGCATCATTAGTAAACTTGTAACAACTCTGAAATCGGCTGCCTAGAACTGAACCTTCTTTGCATTCAACCTCAAAATGTTTATAAGTTGCTAAGTAAAATTATTTTAAAATTTAGTAACTCTATTCTTTAGGGAAAAGTTAACCTAACAACTGATTAAGTAAAAAAGGCAACTATGCTGAGAGAGGAGAGGAGAGGAGAGGGAGGGAAGGAGGGAGGGGGAGGGTGATTCACACTGGGCTACCTAGAAATTCACGCTCCACTCAAGAATCTTCCAGGCTGTTGTGCATAGTAGTTATTTCATTCATTTTAATGTGCACATATTCAGAAATATAAGTACACATAAAATATTTTAATTGTTTTTTGTTTATTTCGTCTTTTTGAGACAGGATCGCCCTGTAGCCCTAGCTGGCCTGGAACTCACTATGTAGAACAGACTGGCCTTGAACTCACAGAGCTCCACCTGCCTCTGCCTCCGAGTGCTGGGATTAAAGGCGTGCACCACCATACCCAGCCCGTCAGGTTAAATTTTAATGGATAGCAGAAACTGCACTTCATATAGTTTAAGTGGTAACAGAAGTTCTAATTTCTAAGTCTGTAAAAGTCAGGGTGTGGGTGGTATGTGCCAGTAATCCCAGTTCTCAGGGAGCTGAGGAAGGAAGGTCTCATATTCACAGCATAACTATATCTTGAAGAAAATCAAACTAAAACAAAAAATCAGTATGGAAGAAAGTGAGCGTTATTTAAACATCTTTTGTGTTACACAGGTCTAGGAGTAGTGATCTGATCAAAAATGTTAATTTCCCAATAATACCAAAAGCAAAGCAACGGAGGGATGGTTCAGTGAAGAGCAATGGCTGTGCTGATTTCAGACAACCCAAGTTCAAATCTCAGCATCCACATAGGGGCTAACAATCATCTGTAACTGTTAACTGTCCAGTTCTAGGGAATCCAACGCCCTCTTCTGACCTTCATGGGCATTGCACGATACAGGTTTACTTACATACATGCAAGCACAACACTCATACACATAAAACTAATTAATTAATTAAGTTAAAGCAAAGCAAAACAAAAACACCCCAAGTGTTTCTGTAATCTACCAATATATTGACATAAAAGTTAAAGGTACTAAAAGTCATGAACAGGCCATTACTAACAATAAGAATGACAGATTATGAGCCAGGTGTGGTGATGCACACCTTTAATCCACTTGGGAGACAGGGCCAAGCAGATCTTTGTGAGTTCCAGGCCAGCTGGGGCTACAGGGAGACCCTGTCTCAAAAAGACAAAAAAAAATTTTATATATATATATATCTATCTCAATAGCTTAATATGATAGAAAACAAATTCTAGACCAGATAATAACCAACAGTGCATCTACTATGAGAAGTAAGTAGCAATGGCTTAGTAAGAAAAAGCAAAAAAGAGCTAAAACTAAATAACACTTTACATTACCTAAGTACTAAAATACTGTTAACTGTCAAAAGTTATTAGAATGAACCATGACAGCTAAAAAGGACAAGTTCCACTTGGTATAAAACCAGGATAGATGATAGATTGATTGATAGATAGATAGATAGATAGATAGATAGATAGGATAGATAGATATAGAAAGATGATAGATAAAAGAGAGAGAGAGAGAGAGAGAGAGAGAGAGAGAGAGAGAGAGAGAGAGAGAGAAACAGGATAGCCCAGGCTGGCCTCAAATTCAATATACAGCAGAAGATGATCTTGTACTGCTGAACCTCCTGCCTCCATCTCTGAAGTGTTGGGATTCCTGGTGTGATGTACCATGTCTGGTTTTTTTATTCAGTGCTGGGCACTGGTAGGCTTCCTACATTGTAGACAATCACTCTACCAATTGAGCTACATCCCTAAACATAGTAGTCTTTTTAAAGATAACAAATACTCTTCAATATGGTTTCAAAATAAAAATATATTACTTGACATTAAATTATGGTAGTAACAGCAGGACAGAATAGGACATGCCTAAGATTCTAGCACTCAAGACACTGAGGCAGAAGGACTGCTGTTGAGTTCAAGGTTAGCCTGATATAATAGTGAAATCCTGTTTTGAAAACAATAAAAAAACAAAAATTATGACATATAAAATCAAAGCCAGATATAAATATTATTATAAAAAGATTTTTTTTAATTAGCTCATTCAGGACACAGTATGAAAAATATCCAAAACATGAGAAATGTTTGACAACTGAAAAAAAGATGGTTAAGTCAAGAAGAGGAAAATATGCCAGGCACAGTGGCACAAAGCCTCTAGTCCCAGCACTAGAGGAGGCAGAGACAGGTGGATCTCTGTGAGCTGGGGGGCCGGGGCTACAGGGAGACCCTGTCTCAAAAAGACAGAAAAAAGGAGAGGGAAAACAGAAAGTGATATACCATGGTGGTTTTCAATTGTTCACACGACTCTTACTCTACAACACAAGATGTAACCATTCTTTAGCAGAACAGCAACAGAAGCTGGAGAATAACTCTGAAGTGCAAGTTCTAAAACTCAGCATAGGCTATCGAACAAGTAAACAAGAATTTGCAGAAATGTAAAATCTGTTATCACTCATTCTCCAAGAAAGCAAAACAAGTAAGCCAGCTTCTACATTGAACTCTTTCTCAACCCAAACATGAATGTACAGGGGAAATTTCAGCAAATTCCATGTTCATTTGATTTAAGGAACAGAAGAACTGAAAACTGAGATGAGTAGCCAAGAAAGATGAGAAAATATGGTGCTTGGATTAACTGAGAAAGACACCTAGCAATTTACAATTTATATTTATATAGAATGTAATAAGTAAATGTGGAGCTGGAGAGACGGCCCAGCAATTAAGAGCACTGGCTGCTCTTGCAGAGGACTGGGTTCAGTTCCCAGCACCCACATGGCAGCTAACATCTGCCTGTAACTTCAGGCAGTCTGACGCCTCTTCTGGCCTCCATGGGCATTGTATGACACAGGTGAACTTAGACAAATGGAGGTAATACACTCATACACATAAAATATGTAGACTGTCTCATCCCATCCTACTGCCTCCAGAAAACTAACTTTAACCTTCTATTTTCCTCTTCACTATCAACAATGTTCCCCCAAACTTTATTATCACTAGTTTCCCCAAAGTCCTACCTTCAATGTGACCCCCAACACACCTTCCTACCAAAGAATGGCAACAGATTCCATCACTGGAACCAGCCATTTATTATTCCACCTGAGGTGCTGGTCATCTCTCACCTCCTTTCCTGTTCTCCCAGTGCTAGCTCTACTACCTCTTTATGGCTGTCTGCCACCTTCATTTAAATCATCATCTCTTCCCCTCACCCACTGCTGGAATGCATGGTTTCAGTTTCCCTTCAATCTAGAGCCCTGACTCAGCTTAGAAAATTGTAAAGGGTTTGGAATACTATATCAAAGACAATGAAGTGAGAACTAATGATCCAAACTTAGAAACCACAGCCCTAGTCTTGTACTTTGGCTAATAAAAAGTTGTTTCCTACAGACAGAACTGTTTTTAGAGAGAACACAAAGAATTACTCAAGATTCACTATGTGGTGATTCCCCCATGAATTTCTATTCCCAGCTACTGCATTGCCTTCCAACTTATGGAGAAAATGCAATGAAGTAAAAGGTGTGCACTCCTTTTTTTTCTCGGAATCCTACAGTACCAGGTCTTGCCCTACATCAGCACATTTTGGTACCAGGTGGGAGTTATAAAGAACTCAGGGCAGAAACACAGAAAGTAAAAATTAAAGATATCTAACTGGAATGAATCATCCTGCCTCGGCTTCCCAGGTTCTGGCATTGCAGGCATGTGCTACAACACTGGTTCTGGAAAGAATTTCTTTGACTGGTTAGTTATCTGCTATGGTTTGGATGAATGTCCTCCAAAAGATGTCAGTAAAGGTTTAGTCCCCACAGCAGTGGTACTAGGTGCTATGGACCTTTAAAGAGATAAAGTCTGACCCAGGCGTGGTGGCCCACACCTTTAATCCCAGAATTCAGGAGGCAAAGGCAGGTGGATTTCTGTGAGATCCAGGCCAGCTGTGGCTACATGGAGACCCTGTCTCAACAACAGAACAAAACAGAACAGAACAGATCAGATGATCAGAACAGAACAGAACAGAACAGGTAAAGACTAACAGGAAGACCTAGGGTCATAGGGCAGAGGGATGATTTCAAAAGGGATTGTGCTATCTCTTCATCTGTCCCTCTTACTCTGCTTTCTGGCTTGTGTTATTCATCCATCCTAGTAGCCTAATCTTGGAGTTGAATCTCAAAGCCAGGAGCCAAAATTAACTTTCTTTTCTTTGTAAGTATCCCGTCTCAGGAATAATTTCATTACAGTTACATGACTAATATATCATCCATCTAAGAATTTCTACTAGCAGTCAACAATAAGGCATGACCCTCAATATTAGTATGGAGACATTTAAGAGTTTGCATAAATAAGTGATTTATCTTTGCATATAATACATAACTTTTAAAATCTCATCTGTCTGAAAATATATAATTCACCAGCAAAACAGTTCCTTTTCATGTATTAACTGAAAGCAATGCAATCAACTGGTTTGACAGTTCAAAAATTTCAATCCTTAACATTTGAGCCTACAAAAGAAGATGAACACCATGAGTTAATATGTATTCAAATTCCTTGGTTTCAGTTACCACCATCCTCTTCACATGTCTTTCTCAAATACACACATTTTTATCAAAGCCAAAGAACTCTAGATAAAGCCTAGTTATTTTCCTGCATCTGTTCTCCTTTGGAAAGCAATAAATATTTGGAGCTATCATCTTTTTTCAATTAAAAAAAAAGAAAAACCAAAATCTAAGACACTAACTTTGAGTCCATCAAGGCACAGAAAAATTATCTCAAAAACGAGAATTGGTCCTCTGCTCCAAGGAACTTACAAAATCACAATGTACCTGGAGCTCCATACCATAAACACACAAGGAGCAAAACAGAGGTGCCTGTTTTTGAATAAGTAGGTAATCCTGGGGCCTAATTATTAAAATTTTGTCAATAAAGCATATACTAGTTGAAAATCCTTATCCCAAATGCTTGGGACCAGTATTTTGGATTTCAGAATTTGGAAAAATTAAAAAATACATACATACATACATACATACACACACACACACACACACACACACACACACACACGAATGATATCTCGGGGACAAAACCTACAGTTTAAATGCAAAATTCATTATGATTCATGTGCATATATAATAGACACATAGCCTGGATATAATTTTACACAATTGTATACAATATTTTTAGTGTATTACAACATTTTTAGTGTATTTACACAATTGTATACAATATTTTTATGTTTGACTGCAATGCATCATATGAAGTCAGGGATGGAATCTTTCACTTTTAGCATCTGGTCAGTGCTAAAAAGTTTTGGATGTTGGAAGAATTCAAATTTCAGATTTTCAAGTTAGGGATGTGCAACTTGTTTTGGTTCTGACAGCATAAAAGAAGGCATAAATCTCTCTTCTTTACTCTTTCTGAAATGGTGATTCAGAATGAATATTAACTGCATATTTTGAGATATAAATCATATAGCCTGGCTGTTCTCATGTAACCCAGACTGACTTTGAACTCTAGATCCTTCTGTCTCCGCCTCCAAAGAATGCTGGGATTATAAATGTGTGCCATGATTCCTGGCTGCTAAATCATTTTAAATGAATGAATGGCAACATAATATTTGGAAACTGTCAATAAGTAATCAAAACTACATCAATGTAATAACTAGAACTAGGACAAGTCTCTGTAACCTGAATTTCTAAAACTAAAAAGATATTATTTCTTTAAAAATAAAGCCTAGTCTAGGGGCTGGAGAGAAGGCTCAGCGATTAAGAACACTGGTTGTTCTTACAGAAGATTGGGTTCAAATCCCAGCATCCATATGGTAGCTAATAATTGTCCATAACTCCAGTTCCAGGGGATCCAGTGGCCTCTTCGGGCCTCCTCTGTCCTCCGCGGGCACTGCATGACACGACATGGGTGCACTTACCTACATGCAGGCAATACACTCATACACATAAGATAAAAATAAAAATAAAATTAAAAAAAATAAGGTCTAGTTATACTTCATATTCTTAAAAGAAAAAAAAAACAGGTAAGTTTGTTGGATGAGTAATTTGTGAAAAGTTCTTTTTAAAAGAAATTATTGAAACTACCTCCCAGGTTGTGTAACTGTATGATTTAAGACTAAAAACAATTCCAAACTAAATTCTAAATAGAACTGGTGAAACTAAGCTGAGCGCACATTTTATAAATGAGGCAATACTATAGCACTGTGCGGAAAAATAATTTGTTTAAAAAAAAAAAAAAGAAAAAACTGTATCAGGGGCTGGAAAGAGGGATTGGCACTTAAGAGTGTGTACTGTTCTTGCAGAGGACAACAGTTCCCAGCAGCCACATCAGGCAGCTCATAGCTGCCTGTAACTCGAGTTCCAGGGGGATTTGCTGCCTCTGACCTCCATGTGCACTCAGAGGGACAGACCCACTCACACAGACATAATTTTTTTAAATCTTAATATATATATATGAAAAAACTACATATAGAAAAAATCAGGATGGTTGCTACTAAGTGAACAGTACTGCAACATACAAAACTTCCAAGAAAACAAAAGATATCAAATGTATCTCTGCACCAGTTAATGTTGTAAATGCAACTAAGTATCTAATAAAATGGCTGCACCTCTATATAAAATGGAGAAATGAAGTGGGGAAGATTAACATTCACTGAAAACCAGTTTTTCAAGTTAATGTAAATTAAATAATTTTGCTTCTGTAAATTCCACTGAATATTAAAAATTAATACTAATAGGGCTGGAGAGATGGCTCAGCAGTTAAGAGCACTAGCTGTTCTTGCAGAGGACCTGGGTTCAATTCCCAGGACCCACATTGGTGGCTAACAACCATTCGTAACTCCCCTCCAGGGACTCTGACGTCCTCTTCTGACCTCCATGGACATTGCACGACACAGGTGCACTTATAAACATGCAGGCAACACACTCGTACACATATAATAAAAATATTTAAAAATTAAAACAACACTAATGACTTAATAAAATGTATTGACATAAGGCAAATTGTATTTTAGTATTATAAATTTATATACAGATATGAAAACGAAGTGTATACAACTCAAACTATAAAATGTTCATTCTTTTTTCTTCCTCCAGAGTCTGTGCTATCTTACTGGATAATAAATGTTCACTCTTAACAGTCAGTAATCAGAAAGCAAGTAAGAGGCATACAGCTGGCTCTTCCTGTATGTGAGTTCTGCATCTGGAGACTGAAAATATTCATGAAAAAATACCTTTCAGTACTGTGTCCAAACCTTAACTTCCATTATTCTTAAACAATATTGTATTGAATTGTATAAAATTATATAGCATTTATATTATAAGTACACATGAGAAATAAAGGTGAAAAGTACACAAGATGTACGTAAATAATGTTCAAATACCACATTTCACAGAAGGGATCTGAGTGTCTGCACATTTGGGTATTTGAACCACTTCTTAGGGATGAATCAACTGTATGTTTGATACAATTGGATCCTACAAGATGCACACAGGGAAACTCGTAAGTTTTAGAGTAAAACTATTTTCACAGACACAACGTAACTACATGCTTACATCAACTTTCTTAGTCTCAGTCAACTGAAACTGTCTGATTCACTCTAAATAATTAAGAAACTGGATATTATTTGAAAATCTATACATTACATTGCAAAATACTTTTGCTTAAGTACTAAAGTTAGTAATGTCAAATATTAGAGAGCTAAATTACACCATGTAGGCATGGACTGCAACTGCAGTCATTTGACCTCACTGAGCAACAATATTGTGGACATTAAAATCCTTAAATGTCAACCGACATGGTGGCGCTCACATTTACTCCCAACACTTGGGAGGCAAAGGCCAGCGAATCTCTGTGAGACTGAGACCAGGCTGGTCTACGTATTGAATTACAGGCAGCTGAGGCTACATGGAGACTGTCTCAAACACGAAAGATCCTTAAATGTCACTTAAAAGTTCCAAACTTTTCAAATTACTTCCTTAAAAATCCAAATACAAGAAGAGCTTCCACATTCCCATAATTGTCAAAGAAGTTCAAATTATCTGGACTCATAATAACTAAGACACTATCCTCCATAAACAGGATCCTATCAATATCCAACTATGAGTAATTTTCCAGTCACATGAATCATCGATGTTGATCTACTTAGAAAATGATACTGTCAGGCATGATACTTTTTCATTCCACTTTCCCCTGCTTCTGATAGTTACCAAAAGTAACTACCTACAAGGTAGTAAACCTAAGGGTAAAGTAACACTCCTAGACTCCCAATCCCAAAGCATTTATTACAGCTGAGAAATAAGCGACAGTCAACAGTAATATTCTCCTGTTTTCAATAGGTCTGGAATGTGTAACGAGAGAGACTAAATCTAAGACCGCATGGCCGCACCCTTCCGTGGCACAGCGCCCAAGGGTGGTCCAGTCCAGCTGCCCCCTGAGGCAAACTCCAGAATCATACCCAGAGCGAGGAACAGGTCTAAACACCGGGAATTATTGCATAGCGGTGGGATGCTCAAGGAGTACACAGAATCTCAAGCAACGAATCCCCAAAGAGGATGGAGGGCAGGGCAGAGCTCCGGCCTCCCACCCCCGCCCAACGCCTCCCCTCCAACTCCCTGAGTGCTTACCTCCTCCCCTAGCTCCCTTAGCAAGCGTAGCCCGCGGGCATCCCCGCGCCAGGCCCCGGGAGGACGAGGAGGAGGTGCACGCGCGGCTCCCGGGAACCGGCCCTCCACTAGCGGGCGGACGCCGGGGCCAGGGAGCAGCGGAGGCCGAACCGGGCCTCGCCAGGCTCCGGAGAGCTCGGAACGCAGGAGGAGACGGAAGGAAGTCGCTGCACGGCAACCCACAACAACCACACAAGCGACAGGCCACAGGCAGGGCAGTCGCGAAACGCCACCGGAAGCCAGGAGTTTACCCTGCGCCTCGCAGGCCGGGCGGCTTCCGGCCGCCAGATTAGTCGTCAGCATGTCGCTGCACGGCAACCCACAACAACCACACAAGCGACAGGCCACAGGCAGGGCAGTCGCAAAACGCCACCGGAAGCCAGGAGTTTACCCTGCGCCTCGCAGGCCAGACGGCTTCCGGCCGCCAGATTAGTCGTCAGCGTGCAAGCCCCGCCCTTCCTCGGCCGCGCCCCCGGGGCGTCGCCTGCCGTGGTGGAGAGAGTTCAAGGCCACGGCAACCCACAACAACCACACAAGCGACAGGCCACAGGCAGGGCAGTCGCAAAACGCCACCGGAAGCCAGGAGTTTACCCTGCGCCTCGCAGGCCAGACGGCTTCCGGCCGCCAGATTAGTCGTCAGCGTGCAAGCCCCGCCCTTCCTCGGCCGCGCCCCCGGGGCGTCGCCTGCCGTGGTGGAGAGAGTTCAAGGCCAGCTCGGCCTTGTGAGAGCCTGGGAAGGAAACTGGGAGTCGAGGAGGCCTGAGAGGCCCAATACAATTTTAGCAGTTCCTGTTTTAAAAAAATTTACAGTGTGCAAACGCCTCTTTTATTGACAGGAACTCTCGGGCGCGTTTCCTGATTGGTAGAGCTGGCGCGAGAGGCGGGGTTCCTCCAGGTTTGACATCTGCGGTCTTCCAGGGCCTTATCCCTTCACCTAGCTAACTCAATGCAAGAATGGTGTTTTCAGGGGCACAAGCAGAAATAGAAAATTTTGAGTGGAAATCCTTCATGTGCTTTAAAACGCGTTTCCTTTTGTTGCTTAGGATCCAGATCTGCATGAAATTACTTATTAAAATTGCTTAAGAGGGCCTGGAAAAATGGCTCAGCGGTGGAGAGTGCTTACTGCCCTTGCAGAAGACCTGGGTCCAGTTCCCAGCACCTACGTGACAGATGAACCCCTGGAACTCCTAGTCCAAGAAATCCAACGCTCTCTTCCGGCCTTCCTGGACTCCTTGCATGCCGGTGGTTCACCTAAAGTAATGCAGACACACACACACACATAAAAATAAAAAATAAGTCTTAAAAATACTTAAGGTAGTCAGTCCAATATTAGAAATCAAGGGGGGATGGAAATCGGTACCTAGCCCCTCACAATGAAAAAATAAAAGGATTAAAACGCACATGAGTCACTGCCTTAAGTATTATGTATTTTATTCGACAAAACCAAGCAAACAGATCAAATCTAGAAGAAGCTGGTAACAAGGATTTGGTCTTGCTGGAATCAGTAAATTAAAAATACAGGCGTACAGGCAAGGATTTTAAGTGTTTCTGATAACATGCCAAATTATTTTAGAGACAGCAGCCAGAGCTTCTGCACAAGTGGGTTTGATGTATCTCTCAGGCAGCAAGAATCCATATCTGCCTTTATCTCGAAGTTCAATTGTAAATGAATACTTGATGCCCAAATCATAGATCCAGTCATCAGAACCTCCAGGTGCTAAGTCTAAAAGAAGAGGAAATGTATTATTTTAAAATATAGGTATTTTGCATTAATTGGCAAAAAATGGGATTTTTTTTTGTAGAAATGAAAATAACTTCTCTTCCTTCTAATTAAGTTACCTAAATTTCTTATCAGAAAATAGTGGGCAATATGAAAAAAATTGTGTTAAGAAAGAAAACAAGAGGCTGGATAAATGGCACGGTGGTTAAGAGAACTGACTGCTGCTCTTCCAGGGGACCCAGTTCAATTCCCAGCACCTACTTGGTGGCCAACAACCATTTGGAACTCCAGTTCCAGGGGATCCAATGCCTCTTCTGGCCTCTGTGGGCTTTGCATGACATGGGTGCACTTGCACAAAAAGTAAAAATAATAAAGAAAGAAAACAAATATTGCCCATGACTCAACCATAATCCCACCAAGTGATAATTGCCAATAATATTTTGATGCATTTTTGCAGTGCATACATTTACTGTTTTAGTTTTTATTACATAAGTCACATAGTGCGTACTATTTGCAACATTTCCAAATATACTCTTAGTGATTTCAAATCTACATTATTTTATTTACTTATGTATTAATGTATTTGAGACAGGGTCTCCCTGTAACCTCAGCTGGTCTGGAAATTGCTATGTGGACCAAGCTGTCCTTGATCTCAGAGATCTACCTGCCTTTGCTTCAGCTGGAATTAAAGGTGTGCAACATCACACCTGCTTACATCATTATTTATGATTTCATAGTATTGCATTCTAATACAACATATGATTGATTTAAATAATTTTGTCATTTAAATGGTTAAATAACAAGCATCTTTTTGTTTATAAATAACTCCTAGTTTCTTTAGGGAACACATTTGTTTATAAATCATTTCTTGTTTCTTTAGATTATTTTCTGGAAGTTAATTTGCTTGTCTAAGGCTATGCACCTTTAACAATTACAATACACATGTTCCCGGGGCTGGAGAGATAGCTCAGTGGTTAAGAACACTGGTTGTTCTTGCAGAAACCCGGGTTCAAATCCCAGCACCCACATGGCAGCTAACAACTGTCCATAACTCCAGACCCAAGGGATCCAACAGCCTCTTCTGACCTCCGCAGGCACTGCACGATACAGGTGCACTTACCTACATGCAGGCAATACACAGATACGCATAAAATAAATAAATTAATTAATTAAAATAAAAAATACACATATTTCTAAAAACTCTTGAATCAGTTCCTCCATTAGCAGGGTGAAAATAAACTGCTCCACATCATTGCAGTTCTGGCTTTTTTGTAGATGAAAGAGATGCGATAGTCTATGATTTTGTTTTGTTTTGAGACAGGGTCTCTTTGTAGCCCCAGTTGGCCTGAAACTTGCTATGTAGACCAGGCTGGCCTTGAACTCAGGGAGATCTGACAGCCTCTGCCCCCCTGAGTGATGGGATAAAAGTCGTGCGCCACCATGCCTTCTTATTGTTCCAGTTTTTAGTCTGTGGTTACACACATACAGATGCATCCTGGGTGAATGCCAGTATGGAGATGGCCTATACCAGCAAAAGCAGCCATGAAGCAGAAACACCAAATGGCTCAATCTGATAAACAGACAACATGAGGGATGGTTGAAGACAGAAAAAAAAAGGAGACTGGTCTTCCTGCTAATGAAGCATCTGATACTCAGGGGTTTGCTGAAAAAAAAAATTGTGGCTATTGTCAAAGCCTTGTGTAGATCGTGTTTATTAAAGGAGACCCTGGGGTTTTGATTATATTGTTCAAAACCTTGCCCTCATCCTGCAGCTGCTTCATAGGTCTTTGAGGAATGGCACCTACAGAGAGGGACCTTGCCAGGCCACATTAGCCAAGTAGCCTCTCTCAAGCCACAGCCATTCTCAAACCTATAAGTCTGTCTTTTTTTTTTTTCTTCAAATCATTAGGTGGAATTCTACTTTGCCTTTTGTTTGCATCAGGAATTGGCAAGTTTTTAATTTTTTTCTGAAAAGGACAAGATAGGAAATCATTTAGGCTTTGTACGCCATCTGGTCTCTGTTAGAATTATCCTGGCTTTCAGAAAAGCTGTCATAGATAATATGCAAATTAATGAGCAAGGCTGTGTTCTGATAAACCTATTTCTGGAAACAAATATGAATTTCATATATTTTTATGTGACAAAATTTAATTCTTTGGATGCTTTTTCAACCATTTAAAAAATAGGAAAACCATTCTTAGCACAAAGTCCATGAGACTATGCAGTGGAATGTGCTTGGTCAATGGCTGTGGTTTGTTGACATTTGTTTACAGGTTTATTTTCCAGTTTTCTTATCTCATTTTTGTGTAGCAATTGTGAGATTAAACATTCCATCTTGTAAGGAAACTTGTTAAGATGCTGGATGTTCTAAAGGAAGCTGAAAATTCCAGCCCTCAGGGAAACTTATAAGATACAGGAAGTAAACTCCTTGAAACTGACCAGATTCCTTAGGGTCCTCCCTTTCCAGTGCATAGATAAGGCAGGAAAGACTGTTAAGAGACACTCTGAGCCAAGCCAAGATGCACAGAAGCAGCTCAGAGGACCTGAGCTTCCTGAATGAGATATTCTCCAACCTGTTGAGCTGCCTGCAGGTTGTGCAGGGCACTCTAGGTTTCCTGCTTTCCTGAGCCCTATGCTGGGGCTCACTTTAGTGGTGCAACTCTCTTTGAGTCATTTCTGCTCCTTTAATTAGCCCCTCACCCATATTCCTATAAGTAACCCCAATAAAATTCATTGGTTTACCAGGGTAGACTTTGGTGGCAGCCTTACTTTGGTAAGGTCATTGGTTCCCTATTTGGGGTGAGTAGACACTTGTTTAAATCTCTCTAGAAACAGTGTCACTCAACATCCATCTACCTCCAGCTTTAGAAGGACAGAATCATTGTTTACTGGCTCACTGTGGATGCATAGAAAATTTTCAATAAATATCTTCCAGCAGAAATGGATCAAAAACATTTGTTGAGTTTGTCAAAAGCAAGCTCTCAACAGTGTGAGACACACAAAGGACATCCTTTATGAGCTGAAGGAGTCTATCACTACAAAGCATATGTAATGGCCCCAAATGGAGTCCCCCAAATTGTAATAGCCAAAGTAACTTCATTTTCTTCTTTTTTGTATCAAGCAGCCACTTTAAACTTCAAAAGCTAGAAAACCAGCCAGCTTCAATGTTAAGTCTGAACTCAGTTGCTTTCCCTTAGAAGAGTGTTTTTCTTTGAAGTAGCTGACTTTGAAGACAGTGTCACCTCCCAGATACTGAAGCTGTGCTTCTTGCCTAGCCAAGAGAACTAAATAACAAAATAAGGAGGTTCCTTATTGTCAAAGTTTCTATTCATCTGTTAAGAAAAGGATTAACGAAAGTTTGTTTTGGCTTCTGTAGTTTGCTTATCTGCTAACTTGGGCCATCCAACCCCACTCAGGACCACCTGGTATTACTCCTGTGTGAGGAATTCTTGTGGCTTTTTGCCTTTATAAGCTAGTTTCACCTTCCCCTCAGGCCATGTGTCCTGAATCTGACTAAGGGACCATGGACAGCTATAGTCCTAATAAATTTGACCAATTAAAATTTGAATTGGGTCTGGTGGTCTTTTCCCAGTGGTTTCAAACTCAGTAACACATACAAGGTAAAGGGCATCCTCTAGACTCCCATATTGTATGACATGAACAACCTTACATGATAGCTCTGGGCATCTTATACATTCTTTAGACCCTTTATAGTCTTTTCTCCTTAACTAGCATGTCAATTCTATTGATATGGCATTTAGCTATATCATTATGTCTATATACCATTTAGGAATATTTAAGGAAAATATGGAGTTTAATCCTGGTTTTCTCCCTCTGTCTCTGTCAGCAAATTTTAGCTGACAAGTTTGTGGTTAGAAAGCTAATACAGCTATCTAGAACTGCTGGCCTTGAGTCCTGATGAAACTCCCTCAATTCTCTTTGTCTCAGATGGAGACTTCTGCAATGATTCTCAGTCAGAAGATTTTTTAACATTTGTTTTTGTTCTAAATTTATAATAAATTGCCCCGAATTTTGATACTGTACTGATGGCCAATCAATATTTAAGTTTCCTTCTCACTGTAACCCAGTGTCTGAGATATAAAAGATATGTACTACTTCCCTTTGGGGCTCAGAACTTTGAGACAGGAATCTCTCTGGGCCAAGACTGCAGCCTAAATCAACCTGTTTCCTGCTTCTCCTGAGGTCATCTTATCTGTCCCTCAATGCTATAATCTCTATAGCGATAAGCTTGATTTCCTAAATACCACTTTTGCTTTTTGTGTGTGGGGTGTGTGTGTGTGTGTGTGTGTGTGTGTGTGTGTGTGGCATACATGCATGTGTGTGTGCAAGAATATGTACCATACATGAGGGCCAAAGGAGAACACTGAACACTGAGCATCTTTCACTCTCCACCTTATTCCCTTAAATCAGGATTTCTGGGGCTTAATGACTGCCATCCTAGACTGCTTTTAAAAGTAGATCCTAAGGGATTCTAACTCGGTTCCTTCATGCTTGTGTAGCAAGCGCTCTTACCCACTGAGCCATCTCCATATTAACACAGCTTTGTTCAGCATTATCACACCAATTATGCTTCTGTTTCTAATCATTAGGATTGTTTCACATTATGACCCTGTTTATGGAGGCCAGCCTGGTTTACATAGAGTTCCAGGGTCTCCCTGTCACTACCACAACAACAAAAGATTGGGTTTTGAAAAACTAAACCTAGGAAGGAAAACTGAACAAATATTTCTGTGGTACCGCATGGTCTAAGCTCCCAAGAAGAAACACTGGGCTCATGATATAGTTCCATGGCAATGTACTTACCTAGCATCCCAAAGCCCTGGGTGTAATCGTCAGTGCTGTAGAAAGAATAAGGAGAAGGAAGAGCAAGAGAGGGGAGAGAAGGGAGAGGGGCTGAGGAGGGAAGGGGGATACTTACATAAACTTTCTGAGTTACTGCCATGTACATACCTTTGTTAGAGTAGCAAATAGACCCACACATTTAACTGGTGAAGACTATAAAATCTCTAGTTTATCTGTTGGAAGAATCACCTTTCCAGTTTCATTTGTCAATCATTCGATCATAGGACCACCCCTAGGAAGGCAGATTCACCTTAAGTTGTGCTAAATAGATGGGTAGAATACCTAGTGCTTTAAAGAGGTGGTGAATTTTTCCTGCTTGGAATCCTGCCTCCTAGTGCAGTGCTTCTGGACCCAGCCACAGACATGTAGATCTCTGTAAGTCTTCCTGCTTTTCTGACTCTTCAGAAAAGCATAATCTCTTCTTTTCTTCTTCATATCCCTCTTCTAAACATGCTTTCTTCAATGCTTTGGGCTGCTCTAGCATCTTGTGTTTCTTTTTTCTTTTTTTTTTATTTTATTATTTTTATGTATATGAGTGTATTGCCTGCATGTATGTGAGTGCACCCGTGTCGTGCAATGCTGAGGTCAGAAGAGGGCTTTAGATTCCCCTGGAACTGGAGTTAAGGATGATTTGTAGCCACCATGTGGGTGCTGGGAATCAAACCCGGGTCCTCTGCAAGAACAGTCAGTGCTCTTAACTGCTGAGCCATCTCTCCAGCCCCATCTTGTATTACTTTACTCTTTCTCTAAAGCTTCCTTCCCCAGCCATGTGGTTACCAGTCAGCCACACGTCTGACATCCATGCAAGCTCTAAACCTGCATGGCTTCACGGCTTTCTTTCCTCCTCCCCTCCATTCTCCTCCTCAAAGTAGCTAGCAAGATTACCAGCTCGCCCTGAGGATTTTCCTTAAAATTATAATGAAATTGTCCTAAAGCTTCTATTCGGGTCCATTCTTAAACTATTTTATGAATGAGACCAAGAACCCTCTAGGAAACACTCTTTTTCTTCGTGTAGTTATCAGTGCTGCAGAAAAAATGAGTAGAGGGTGTACTGGATAGCTTTAGTGTCAACTTGACACACCTGGGTTGAAGGAGCCTCAATTGGGGAATTGCCTTCATTGGACTGGCCCGTGGCCATGTCCATGGGCCACCTTCTTGATTTTTGAGTGATGTGGGGGGGCCCAGCCCCCTGTGGGTGGATAGCTTTAGTGTCAACTTGACACACCTGGGTTGAAGGAGCCTCAATTGGGGAATTGCCTTCATTGGACTGGCCTGTGGCCATGTCTGAGGGGCATCTTCTTGATGAGTGATGTGTGAGGGCCCAGCCCATTGTGGGTGGTGCCACCCCTGGGCAGGTGGGCCTATGTTGCATAAGAAAGCAAGCTGAGCAGGGGCCAGGGGAGCAAGCCAGTAAGCAGTGTTCCTCCGTGGCCTGTGCTCCACCTCCTGCTTCCAGGTTCCTGCCCTGAGTTCCTACCTTGGGCTTCCTGATGAACTGCGACCTGGGAGATGTAAGCTGAATAGACCCTTTCCTCCCCAAGTTGGTATTGGTCAGAGTATTTTGTCACAGCAATGAAGAACAAACTAGGACAGAGGGGAAGAGGAAGAGAAAGGGAGACAGAAGAGGAGGGGAGGATGAGGAGGGAGGGAGGATACTTACATAAACTTTCTGAGCCACTGCCATGTGTATACCTTGTGTTTTTATTAATACTCTCAATTGCATGAACTGCTTCTCTGGCCACTAGGGACTAGAAAAAATTGAATATTGAATTTTGGTTCATTTTCAGCTGTGAAACAAGACAGTTTGAAGTTTCCAAAAACATTATCACATTCATTTAATTAAAGTAAGAAGTCTGAATTTACCCAGAAAGCATATTAAAAAGAATACATTAACTAAAAAAATGTTTTTCACTTTATGGCAATCACAACTGGGTAGATTTCAAAATAAATGCTGCCAATACATTGAATGTTTTATTTAATTTGCATTTTAAAAACCTCACATGGCTTTTCAGGAATTCATTTATTATGTAAAATGAACTACGTTTTTAAAAGACTTAGCAATATTCTATTTCTAGACAAAATTATCACCAAACTTTAAATTCCACTCCTCTAAGTGTATACATATATTCACTGTGTGCATAATTTACTTCTCACAAACTATTTTTTTCTTTTGTAACTGTCTAATGACTTAAAAAATTCATCAAATAAAGAATTATGTCCCTGGTTTGGACCAGGGTAATAACTAAGGTCTCTGTTCCACCAAGTGATTCCAATTTGTAGAAATACTTTCTGAAGTTCCCACTTAATCTGTATTTTTTTCTGCAATTGGAACTAGCAACCCTGTGCTCCCCATCAGCCTCTTGAGAACCCAGCAGGATTTCAGTGGATATGCTGTTGTGCCATTCCTTTGTTCAAAAACATAAGTATTAATGGAACCCTGTTGTTTAAACAATAAAAATTACATTTACACTCAAACACCTTCACAAAGCTGACCTCATCTACTTTCTTGTGGTGTCACACTCATTCATGCCCTCCACAGTTTCCTGACCATTGTTCCTGTGGGAAACAACATCTCTTCTCCATGAAAGGTCCTATAGAAATCTCCTCTCAGTGCCTGGCTGAAAGGGCATTCGTTTCTTGACATCAACAGCTTTTTATTCTTCTTGTTTCCTTAAAGTACATTATTCCTTAGTGGACTATAACTCCCTCAGGAATAGAGCTTATTTTATCACTTTCCTTTCTTCCCATTCCAATCAGTAGTAACTTCTGTTGTTTGTGCCACGTATGTGATAGAGACGATACATCATCTGAGAGTATAGCCATCTGTGATTGACTATGGATCAGGTGGCTAATATGTAGTTGTCTATGTCTATAGAATATAGTACCTTACATATAATGAATATTTGTGCTGATAGCAACCCCCAAATAAGGCAAAAATCAGATTAATTTTGCTTTTATATCATGGTAAATATTTTTTTATTCTTCCTTTCCTTTAAAATGTTTCCTTTGAGAAGAAAAAGTCTTAAGTATCAAATATTACTATTTATGTTCTAGACGAGCTAGTTTCAGAAAATACAAATCATTTTGTATTTGACATCAGTAACTGCCAGTCCTCCCAAATGTGGCTATACTTTATTCTGTTAATAGAGTTAGGAAATAAAGAGCAATAAAAACAATTTTTAAAAAAACAGAGATCAGACTTTGTCCATGACACAGCACCTCTATTGTCTGGCAAGCACGGAGACAAGGACTTGACTAAGTATGCCTACAGCCTATCGAGAGGCCTACATCCTTGTCTGTCAATCCAAATAGAGCATCTGTGACAGAAAAGTAGTAAGAAGGTAGGTAGTGGACTGTGTGGGTCTCCCTTGAATTTCCTGTATTGTTTACTTCATTCCAAGCAATACAGTTGGCTCAGTATAGACACTAAAACTTCTTTAATAGCACCAACACCTTGAGAGTCAAGGAGAGCAGTGAATAAACAGTTCCCACTGCCAGTAACAAAGTGAATGTGATTCTGGGACTTAACAGGGGCATGACATTCTAGGAGGCTAGTGACCACCATGTAGCGCACAGAGACATTATCCCTTGCTGAATCAGGTCAGATGGAAAAGCCCTCACCTGACTGTAAGTAGCTTGTCCAACATTTTCCCAGGGAAGCCATTCCCTGGGAAAAAAGTTCATGTCCTCAGATTAAGGGCAATGCTTAGCACTCACTTAGCAAGCCTCTGATCCAAGGTGACTCCAGGCAGAGATACAGCATGAAGTTAAATGCTTAAAGGAGAAAAGTTATCCCAGTTTCTTTCTTCAAAAGGATGTTATTTTATTTCTAAAATGCGAGTGAGAAAAATGACACGGCACTCACCAGTTCGTCATGGTCTTTGCTTTTGCTTCTGTTATAGGAATACGGAAACAGTATTTGCTGGGAGTATGAGTGCATGCTGATGTAAGCTTTAATGTGGTTGATATTTCTTCTCAAGAAGTCAGCCACTGCCTTGACTTCCGGCTCAGACTCAGGATAAAGGCCACAGTAGGTTTCAGAGCATGAGAAACTTGATGCACCTTCCTCTGAAATAGTTAATGTGAAATTATAAGAAGATATGTGCACTACTGAAGTTTGTGGGTTCCCTGGCAGGACAGTCCACACATATCTATTGGGGGAGCACTGAAGACAATGCTGTAACCCAGACATTCCTCTGAAAAGCTGGAGTTGATTCAGGGCAAGTGTGGGCAACGTGGAGCACACTGGGAAAAAGGGGTGGACCCGCCACCGTATTGAGCATGGGGAACTGCAAGTGAGGAAGACTGTGGGTGGGAGGCAGATGGCATGTGCATGTCAAATATGGGAAAGGAAAGGCCTATAAGATTCCGTGTTTTGTAAGTCACCCCTCCCAAATGTCATATAAACTATGCAAAATCCAAATTAGAATATCTTATGTTGGCTTGTCAATCTGTGTCAGGACTTGGAGACCCTAGAGTTCTCAGAGGGAGTACACAGGTCCCCCAGGGAGGGAAAAGGGGAAAATTTGGCAAAATAAATGGTGCAGTCCAGCAGGATGACACTGGAAACAACAAACCACAGAAGACTGGGAAAAACAAGGGGGTTATAGTGATGGTCACATGGGATATACAATGGATCATAGAATATGTAACTGAAATGATGTGAGCCACACAGACGTGGAAGGCCTCAAAGGGGAAAATCCCTGGTTCACAGCCATCCTGTAACTGTGGGAAAATAGCTCAGTTGCTTGCATGTGAAGATACTTTAAAGGGTATAGAGAGCCTAGAAAAAAAAACTTACAAGCCTTGGAAGCAGGCTAGGAACCCAAAGAGGGGGCATGGCCACTTTGCATAATAAAAGATTTGTCCAAGACAAAGGCAGATCCAGTTGAGACTGAAAAGGCTAAGGATTCAGTCTTAGCCTCAGAGCTTGAGAGAGAGAGAAAAAATGGGAGATTTTAACTTGCATAAGGTTAGGGGACCAGGAATCAAAATGAAGGACCCGACTGACAGCAGGAAGGCCATTTTAGAAAAAGAACTGTAATCAGCCATTCGATAAGCCAAGATTCTAACCCAGGTCTTGTGAAACTAGCAGTGGAAGATAGGACGTTTGCAGTCGGACCACCTGCCACCACCCTGAGGCCCCTACCGGGAAGTTAGTGATAACAGCCCCTACTGGGAAGTTAACGATAACAATCAGTTTCACCCATAGCCCCCTCTGAATTTGGCAATACTGTTTCCTCATACCTTGTACCCATTGAAATGCACTAATAATAATCTTGTAACCATGCATCTGCTTCTGTACCTTGCTTCTGCTCTATAAAAAGCCCCCCCAAACTAAGCCCGGCACGCAAGTCCTGACCCGAGCGGGACTCTGCGTCCGCAGGCGCCTGTGTATGAATAAATTCCTCTTGCTTTTGCATCCCGAAACTTGGTTTTGTCCCTGTGTGTTGAGCGCGATTCTTCA